CGCTTAAGGAACCCACCTGTGGATTAAGACTACTCGGCTCACAACCAGATCTAAGAGGATCGTTATTTTAAATTATTAATATTATTTTTAATAGCTAGCTTGGAGCAATAAAGTTATTAGGTGTATGGTGCGTACTGAGACTGAATAGATGTTGCAAGGTACGAGCTTTTGCTGGCGCCCAGGGTACATTATTTTAACAATATTTTTTTTTAATAAAATTACCTTTTGTTTTATTTTCTTCTGTTTAATACTTTATCCAATGACATTATTTTTTTTTAACTTTGATCATGAATGTTGCAAGAGTCAATCCTACACACTGGTAAGTTTCAGTAAATCTTAAAAATAATAATTATAAAAAAATAATAACAACAATAAATAAATTACACGTACGCGCACGCGCACCTTAATAATATATATATATATATATATAAACTTTTTATTTCGGATGATATAATAGATTATTTAGTGGAACAAACGAATCTATATGCTCAACAAACCGGACCGATCAGACGAAGTAAAACTAAGTCTTGGGTTGACACTAACCATGATGAAATGGAAAAATTTTTAGGTATCTTGGTTTGGATGGGATTATTGAAATTACCTCAACTTAGAAATTATTGGAGTAAACATTTTTTATACACAACCAATGTCCGTAAGATAATTACAAGAAATAGATTTGAACAGCTATTAAAGATGTGGCACTTCAACAACAATCAAGACAATTTGTATGCTAACGACCGACTTCGGAAAGTACGGCCATTGATAGAAAAACTAAATACAAAGTTTCAAGAGATACTAATTTCGGGTCAAAATATATGCATAGACGAAACTATTGTTCCATTTCGAGGAAGATTAATTTTTCGACAATTTGTCAAAAATAAGCGACACAAATTTGGTATAAAGCTATATAAATTGTGCACAGAAAAAGGCTATACTTACAAAGTTCGGGTATATAGCGGAACAGATGCTGCAGAACCTGGTGGCGCTACTCAAAAACTTGTAATGGAAATGATAGACAATCTTTTAGACACCGGGCGTACTCTATTTACCGATAATTACTATACCAGCGTAGCTTTAGCTACAGAGTTACTACAACTCAACACGCACTTAGTTGGCACAATTCGATCTGATCGAAAGTACAACTGCGACACTGTGGTTGAGAAGAAACTGGCACAACACGAGGTTTTTGCTCAAGCATCAAATAATGGAATTGTATTGCTAAAGTGGAAAGACAAAAGAGATATTTTGATGCTTTCTACCAAGCATACAGATAGTACACAAAATATCCGCAAATGGGGTAAAGAAATCGCAAAACCGACAGCTATTGTGGATTATAACATGTCAAAGGGGTACGTAGATCTAGCAGATCAAATGAAAGCGTACTCTCACTGTCTTCGCCGAGGAAGTAAATGGTATCGGAAATTAGCCATAGAACTTCTTTTAGGTACAGCTCTTTTAAATTTTTTCTTGGTGTTCAAAGAAGTCACACAAAGTTCTATGAATATAACATCTTACAAAGAACAACTAGCAATGGGATTACTAAAAGTGAATGAGCAAATTTTCGATGAAGAAAAGGAAAACCAGCAGGAAGACCACAATCTAATAGAGGCCGAAAATTCTAGAAAACGGTGTGCAGAATGCTACACAAAAATGGCAAAAGATTATGGTAGAAATATGGCTCAAAATAAATGCACAAGAACAAAATACATATGTACAGTCTGCAAAAAATATTACTGTGTAACATGTTTCTTTGTGTCACATATATCAAAAAAGAATTAACTTTAGCTTATTTTATAATGTCTTGATTTGTTATTTTTGAGTTGGTTGAATTAGTTTTACATCATATAAATTTAAAAATAAAAGTTTTTTCAAGTTTAGCAATTATTTTTCAATTATACCTAAGTATGCACCTTATACGAGACAGGTTTGAAAAGACAGTACAAAGTAAGAAAATTGGCAACACTAAAGCCGTGCAACTGTGTGTATAGTAAGTAGCACTTCTTGGAAAATTACATAATTTTTTAGTAAGATCAGTTACCATCTGCTTAGCGTACGGATAAACTAATAAAATTTTGTCTTAGCGTGACAGCTCTTTCTCTTTTTCCTGCCAAGGGAGTCCGAGGAAGTCAAACCTGAAGAGTAGAGAGCAAGTCAATCGAGTTGAAATTCTGGTTTCTTGAATTTTGCTGCCCGAATATGAGCCCCACGCCAAACTTAGGTATAGTTGGAGAAAAAGATAAAGTGTGATTTAAACCTTTAAAGCCAGCCGGCAAACATACAAAAAAAAACTAAGGAGACTGATACATCACCTTTAAAAATAGTAGATAAATACGAGGCACGATTAATTTACTGCATAACACACTGAAATAAAATAATAAAATTTGTGTTGATCGCTCCCTGTATGCTTATTTGAATGGTCCACATGGACTGGACATCTACCTGTCAGCAAATGTTACCTCCCACGTTTAATACGGCGCATGTAATTGGTCGCTTCCAAATTGTTATTGGTCAAATTCTTGAATACTGTATTCAGAAATGTGCAAGAAATTGAATTGTGACATGTGGCACGACCCAGTGTCGTAACATCGAAAGTTTTAGAATTTCGAAATAAATGCCGCGTTTGAATAATATCCACATCGGATGCATCTGAGATGTTGTGAATTTTTTGTCACGTTGTAAAGGATTAGATCTAAATGTAGATGTTAGTGATGGGACTATTCGAATACAAATTATAAAAGTATTCGATTCTAGCGTGCATTCGACCCGACTAAAATTACAAAGGAAGCGTAATTTACTAATTTTAATTTAACATAGTACTTTAGTAGTTCTGATTGTGGCATATTACGTAAATATTTTTAGAAGTATAGGAATTTTGGGATTTATTATTTTATGAACAAGTCATAACTTAATCAATGAAAAAAAAAGTGGCAGTCACGGCGATACATATTTACCGACACCGACCTATAAAAAAATGGTTATTATTTATTCAATAATTAATAATCCATATATTATTAGATAGAACAAATCGGTAGGCGGCACCTGAGACAAGAACTGAGACTGCCGAGAGCACTAGGGAACTCGAGTCGAGAGGCTGAATCGCTTGTGCTTGCGTTTATTTTCATGTCGCTGACGCTGACCTCGAAACGAAACGTAAATAATTCGATTCTTTTGTATTCGAATAATTGCTCGATTCTCAAAAGTAATCGAATTCAAAATGTTCGATTCTGAAAAACATCCGATTCTCCCAACACTAGTAGATGTAATAAACAAAAGCTCTAGACTTTATTGGTCACGTGATAAAATGAAATCTAAACAAAAATTAAACAAACAAATCACTTTTATATTCATGCATTCATAAATAAAGGCTAAATCGATAAACTTGGCTTCACAGAACGCCTACTTTTTGGCATGGAACGAACATCTCATTCACATCTCATTTCAATCGAGATGTAAAAATTGGGCTCTATCACTGAGCCACCCACCCACCTGGTAGGTATTATTATTTTTGTTATTACCATTTTATATAATACTCACATAACAAAGTGCGTTTTAAACACTATTACGATCGCAATCAAGCGTTATAATATAATAATATGATGTATTTTATGTAGGTTCTATAAGAAATGTACCTAAATAAAATAATCATTTTTCATTTATATTGTTGCATTGCACGCCTCTGCCTGGAGCCAGTCCAGTTTTACGTTTTTATGGCTATTTATACTCACTTCGTATAGACAATTTAGTCAAGCGAACATCTTCTTAGGAGTACATTCAACACGATGGAGTTATGGAGGCCTTGGGATAACAATGGTAATAATAATAATAATAATAATAATAATAATAATATTAATAATAATAATATTAATAATAATAACAATAATAATAATATTTTAGAATTTGATAACGACCGTAATATTTTAGAATGTGAAACCGACGCCGAGTTTGTGATGTGCAATGACAAAGGTGAAAATTTTGAGTGTAGAAGTGACGGTGGTAGTTTTGAATGTGATTGTGGTAGTGATTTAGATGAAGAGCTCCCAGTCAAGAAAAAACGAAGTCATTTGAATTATCAAGCACAGAAAATGTGTTTCAACGTGTACATAAATCTGTACATAAACCACCATGCTGTTGTTTAATATTTATCAATTTAAGAACTTCTTTAATCTTCATTCCAGTTTGAGAAGTTTTTACACAGAACTTCCCTCTATATTATGACGTGCTAATATTTCAGAGTATGATCCCTCAGGTCATTTTATAAAGTTCATAATATGAACATAGTCCGCAACTGCATACATTTTTCGATCTACTTTTATTATTTTCAATTTTGGTAGATATGTGTTAATAGGTTTTATATCCTATTCACATGCTAAAATTAAAAATTATATCTAAACTATTTTCAGAGATTTTAAAAAACAAATGTTCATATGAACTTTTCTTTATAAAATAACCTGAGGAATCACACCCTATAATATGAGCATATCATTCAAAAATACCCTGTATAAATTGTAAAAACAGGGAAGCCATTTTGAATTTTTGAAAAGTAATTTATGTCTGTTATCTTAGATCAGATACCAATTTTAGTCGAAATCTACTGACTTTTAAAATAGATGTTTTTTTAACTGCTCACCCTGTATATATCGGCATACAAAAAGTTTTTTTCCTACGCCGTTTTTGAGCTATCGCGCCAACAGACAGACGGCAGACAACAGACGCCGGACGGCACATAGACCTACTGAATGGGGAAAACATGTTTTTCGTATTCTAGGGATCCGAACACGTGAAAATCTAAAATATTCTCGTAGGGTGACTTTTTCACGATTACAAAACTTCCCTTTTATCGAGGAAAGTACAAATAAAATAAGTATACTCAATCTCTTGAATGCTCCTCTACTATTTTTTATTGCGATGTATCAGGGGTATCAGTTTCCTTAGATTTTTTTTTGTATGTTGTCGGCTGGCTTCAAAGGTTTAAAGTCACACTATATATTTTTCTCAAACTATACCTATATTATTTGGACTGATCTTATTAGGTTTGTTTTGGTTCAAACAGAACCATTGATTCTAGTTCTCAAATACAGTTGACGAATTCATGTTTCAAGAATACGTCGCGATAATATAATAACCAACTGAGCTAAACGAGTGTAATTCACTGATTCTGAACTAGTTCGTGAAAGAACCAAAACAAGCCTAATGAAACTTCTTATATATTATTCTAGGAAGTGCTGCTAACAACACAAGGTCATAACTCTCAGTTGCTGCTCGTTTTCCTACTTTGCACATACTTTTCAAAACAACCTCGAGTACCCACAATTTTTAAAATCCGCTTGTATATGATATACCGTTGGGACCGGCTTTGTACAATTCCTATGTATTTAGTACGAAAACGTGGGCTAATTTTGATAAATCGATATTCTTAAGTATTAGACCCTTGTGGGCAACGCATGTACCTCGCGGTCCCAAGAAACGTTCAGGTGTGGGTCGCGTTTAACCCACCCGGGGCTCAAGTGGTTAAATTTTACGTCACTGTCCTAAAACTTATTTGGTCTATAATTTTGAATTTTTTGATGCTTTTTAAATAAATCATGTACTTTTGTTGGACATTTGTAAAAAAATTTCAAAATTCCAAAATAAAAAATATAATAAAATGAGAATTTACACTTTGGGGTATGAATATTTTGAATACCAATCACTTTATAAATTTCCAACAAGAGTACATGATTTATTAAGAAATATTCATAAATGTAAAATTATAGTTTAATAAGTTTTTAAATGGCGTTAAATTTAGAGAGTATGAAGGTGTTACTTATCCTTGCCGTACGCCACTGGCAAGTTTATTTAATTGATTTTTTTGCCGATAGGTGTATTTTATTACACCAAAAAATTTCCCGAGTTTAATTATTTCGGAAACGCGTAATATTTTATTTGGTTAATCATCTTATTTTAATCAGAAAATCTTCAGTTGTTCTGTGTCCTATGTATAATAATTATGTTTCACTTTAAATAATATAATTTATTTTGTATTTGTGTACCTACATCAACATCATCACAGTTTTTGTTCCAAATATAAAATTATTAAACACATAATTAATTTGTTTTATAACAACAAATACACTATTCTATAATTTATAATTAATAATAACAATTAATACAACTATTATCAATATCATAAGTATTAAATCCATTTCTCTTAGGATCAGGACACCTTCTACAATCAAAAATATAGTCTTCACATTGATCTAGCTGACAAATCTTCTTTACATAGTAATTTTTTCTTCTATAATGTATTGAAACTGCGGATAACTTCTTCTGGTTATAAAAGCATTCATCACCACACACGTCTGTTTTGAAACACTTAAACACGTTGTGGCCTTCCGTGTTTAATGGGATTTCCTTGCAATGGGAAACAGAACAACAATTATTATCGGCATTATTCTTGGATCCAAGTAGAGGTTCGTTGCCACTGAATTCAAACAGAGGGGAAGAATTTGTTGATACAATCAAACAGATGCTGAGGAATAGTAGGAATGATGTCATCTGAAAACAATAAATAGTATATTTGTTACTGAAAATTACCATTTTGGTTTAAGTTAGTTTAATTAGATATATATCGCTTAGTATATTTCTCAATATGTCACGGTATTCTCATTTTTAACATATATTGCTTTGCTTAAAATATTCGTATTAACAAGGAAGTTAGCTCTGGCGAGCAGAATGTTACAGACAATAACCTCATTAATTTAAGTTGGTATTTTTTTAAATATTACGCTTATAGTCCAGGATCCGTAAGTAAGGTCGACCTTCGCCCATCTGTTTAATGGATAAAAGTTTTTTTTTATTAAACAAAATATGTTTTAAATATACCGCACATGGGTTGCCTAAGAAAATACGGTCAGGGCTATTTTTTGCTTCCCTTTCTGTGTACAGATAAGGAAATTATAGGAATCATAATAAAAGTTGTTTATGATGCCATTCTCTATTATATTGTTCCTATACATAATTTCCCTAAAATGGACCTAATTCGAGATATTTGAGGAAAACTGCAAATTTCGAATTTTGATGACAACCCAAAAACGGATAAAGAGAAAAACACCAAATTTTAAACTTAAGCTTTAATCTATCCTGCGGTAAGCTGATTAAAGTGTAGGCATTGTCGAAGAATCTGGGGAATACTTTACAGGGTGTCGTTTTTTTTATTTTAAGAAAATAATACGCCACCTATTATGCAGCGAACAACAGGAAATAACTATCCTAAAGAAATAAGGGAAAACTAAGGAGAGCATGGCGTCAGACCAGAGCCCCATCAGATAAAACCAAACTTAACAACGCCACCCAGCAGTTAAAAAGAGAGATAAAACGAATCAAAAATGAATCTATTTGTGAGTACCTTAGTGAGTTGACAAACGATAAATTCACTGATTATTCTCTATGGAAAGCCACAAAGCAATTAAAAAGACCCACTGTGCAGAATGCTCCAATCAGGAATACAGATGGTAGCTGGGCTAGAAATAATATACAAAAAGTTAATAGATTCGCAGAACACTTAGAAAACAAAATGAAGGAGAAGAATTACCGAACAGGGCTCCTCTAGTGAGAGATGACTCAATTATCAGACCAACCTCCCCAAAGAAATTTGCAGAAGATATAAAAACAAATATTAATCCTAAGAAAGCTCCTGGCTATGATTTAATTACAGGAGAAGTCTTAAAACAACTTCCGAAGAAAGCCATAATTAAACTTACACACCTGTTTAATGCCTCATTCAAATTAAGGTATGTCCCTAGATTGTGGAAATTAGCTGAAGTCATTATGATCCCCAAACCAGGAAAACCCCCAAACGAAGTTTCGTCATATAGGCCAATATCTCTATTGCCTATAATATCGAAACTATTTGAAAAAATACTAATAAAAAGACTGAAAACCATCATTGAAGAAAAAAACTTATTCCAGATTACCAGTTCGGCTTTAGAGAAAACCATTCAACTATAGATCAAGTTCATAGAATCTCAAATGCTATTGAAAAAGCATTAGAAAACAAAGAAGTCTGTTCAGCCATCTTCCTCGATGTTGCGCAGGCTTTCGATAAAGTATGGCATGATGGCTTAAGACATAAACTGAATGTGCTACTTCCACAGCCATACTCAGAGCTATTAGATTCATACATTTCAGATAGATTCTGTAGAGTAAAACAAGATAAAGGATACTCTGATTTGAAAGAAATTAAAGCAGGAGTACCACAGGGAAGCGTCCTGGGACCCACTTTGTATCTGTTATACACTTGTGACATACCCCAACTAGAACAAGACACAATATCAACATTTGCAGATTATACTGCCATCCTAGCGATAGGCAAATATCATGAAGAGGCTGCAAATAAACTAGAAACATCAGTTAATAAAATACATAAATGGACCAAAAGATGGCGTATTAAACTAAACGAAACCAAATCTGTTAATATTAATTTTACTAACAAAAATGGTCAAAGAATACCAATTAACATAAATAATGCTCAGATCCCTTATGCTAACTCGGCAAAATATCTAGGTATTACATTAGATGCAAGACTTCGCTGGAAGGTCCATGTTAAAAAGAAAAGACAAGAGTTAGATATAAAATTCAACAAAATGTACCGGTTACTTGGTAGGTATTCCAGCTTATCTACACATAACAAAATTCTGTTATATAAACAAGTTCTCAAACCAATTTGGACCTGTGGCATTCAGCTCTGGGTTTGTGCTAGCTACAGTAATATTCTAATAATCCAGAGATTCCAGAACAAAGTATTGAGGAACATTGTCGATGCTCCTTGGTACATTAGAAACAGCGACCTTCATCGAGACCTTCAGATGGACACTGTTGACCAGACTATCACCAGATTCGCTAGGAGTCACGAACAACGGCTCCACCAACATGTGAACGTTGAGGCGATCCAGCTTCTTGACAACACGAACCTGACAAGAAGACTCAAGAGAGTGAAACCTTTTGAGTTAGTCAAGTGATTGTATTAATAACAAAGCAAAGCATTGTGCGGTTTAGTGTTACACGACCCTAAGGTATACTAGCGAGTAGAACTTTAGTTTTTAAGATTGCAACCCTAGTTAAGTTAGGTTATAACAAAATTACTCATTGATCAACTCTTGATCAGATTGTATTATCAATAAACGCCCCTTTTGGAGTATTATTTCACAAAAAAAAAGAAAATAAATAGTCTGGACCGTTTTTTCTTAGGCAAACCTTTTGCGCTATATTTATAAAAATATTTTATTTAATAAAAAGAAACTTTCATCCATTAAACAGATGAGTGAAGGTCGACCTTACTTCGGATCTTAGACTATTAGTATATTTTTAATATCATGATATTGTCATATTTATTGATAAAATAACATAGTTTTAAAAATTATAAAGGCTATTTTCCTGAAATATAGAATATTTAACAATGTTTAAAAGTTTTATATGTTAAAGAGGAGCTCTATTTAAAAAAAAACTTTAAATTTCCATGTTCACAAAAGGCACTATAGTCAACTCTTTTGAAATGTGTGACATGGCAATCATATGAAATTAGTACGTATGGAAATAATTTATTTAACCGGTGCTAAAGCTATTGACTTTATATTTTCATGCATTTTGGTGCCTAATTGATAATAAAAATAATAAAACCATTAAATAAATCAGTTTTCTATTTAATACAACTTTTCCAAAGTATGAAACACGATTTTCGAATAAAAGTGATGCTATCTTAGACTAAAAAATGGAGGAGCGTAACTTTTACTTCAGACCGACGGACGCATAACATTGCGAAAAAATATTGATGGGTGCTAGAAAATACGTGATGTTTGTTTTGTGCTTCGCTTACGAAAAGTAAATTAAATACAGTGTTATTATCTGAATCTATTAGGAGAAAGAGGGCGTCAAGAGCCTGCTGGTTTAAAAGTCCTGCAAAATAATAACGCCAACGAGGAGTCACTAGATGACCCATTGCTGGTAGTGGCCGTTTGGTGGGATTTTACCATCCCGGTGGTAAATGCCTAGATGCCGCTTTCGTGACTTTCGCGTTCGGAACTTTTCACTTTATACCTAAATTTCACCCTTTTTTTCCATATTGCTGGCTGCAAGTTGATTTACCTGAAAATTAAATAATATAACCTTTCCGCATTCGGGATTTGGTAATCTGTGCAGATGAAGAGAGAGTTAAGTATAAAAAAAACCCTTCAGTTCTAAATTAGATTTAATTATCAAATATTTAAAAATTTACTGAGCAACGCAGTCGTAGTTTTTCGACTCTTTTAATGATGGATAAAAATTCAAATATATTCGGTAAGTAGAAGTTGCGCCCTGTTAAATTTGCTCAAGGAAAAGTTTTCCTAAGGGTTTGTGTTGCAGCATTTTCAAAATTAATTTTAAAATTCTTGTGTTACCACATAGGAAAATGCATTTTGATTAGATCAGTTTATTTTGTCTTATTGGGAAGTAGAGCATAATATTGTTACGCAGGTCTTTGGTATCACAATTTATTTCAATTCAACTTCACAATGACTCAATTCAACTTTAACAACAACTGAGCCCCATTTCTTGTCCCTTCTTCAGTTTGAATGGTCTCTCCGATAAATTGGCAGCCCTTACTGGAATTAGTTTATCAACGTTAACAAAATATCTAGCTACTAGAATTTCGTCACTCACAGATTCTTCACTTTCCACAATGCCCACATGTAAACCGTGTGATTTCTCGCTAAATCTGTCCAAGACGACAGCTTCAGAATTTTGGGGTACTTCTATGTCTTCTTCTACTAAAACTTTTATCGGTTGAGTCTTTTCTTTCGAATTTAGGACAATTTCCTCGTTTCCAATTACCAAAATCTTGTTTTGAAGGTCGATGATAAAATTATTTTGCATAATGTCCATACCCACAGTGATCTTTAATATCGGCCACCAGAAATAAGTGTTCTATCAGGGTATTACCAATCTGTACGGTTGCTGATATCTTGCCTAGAACAGGAGTAGTGTGCCCTGTAGCTGTTTCCAGCACTAAGCTTCTTCGAGTTGGTCGTGGTTTTCGATGCAGGATCCCTGTTCGAATGAAAGACTTAGTTGCACCAGTATCAAGGACAAAAATGCCTTCTTGGTTATCGATATACCCCTTGACCAATAGATTTTGTTCGTTTTTATTTAAAGTGTAAGTGCAAATTTTGGGACCCTCTGTTACAGCCAACGCCTGCCCCGAAATGCCGATCTTTATTCGTTTCCTTGACTATTGTTAGAAAGCCGGCTAGGTGTGGGTTACCGGCTTCTCCGTGAGGCATATGTGCCATAATTGTTCCTTGTTAAACTTCGTGACGGGCTTCGGAAGGTTAATTTAGGTGAATTTCTAGCATCATTCTCCAATTCTCGATTCATAGAACGAGTCCTGCTTCGATAGGTTCTTTGAAGGTGTCCGATTCTTCCGCAATTAAAGCATCTTCTGTTCTCATTTTGACTATTTCGTTGCATATTTTGCAGGATATTTAGGATTTGTGAGAGCGTAGGTTGATATCTAATTTCTC